CACCAGTGACTCTAGAGGCTGCTGGGGTTTCAGAAGAGCGTGGCTTCATGTTCTGCTGCTGTTATTTTAATGAAACCACACTATAATCAGCCTTAGTAGTTGACACTTATCCAACAGCAGCTGTACCAGAGAGGGTTGCAGCAGCGCCCAAGTCTTATCTGGTGACTAGACCAAAACAAGAAGCAAAGATTTGCTGTAAACCATCAAACTGTAAAATTTGCATTTCAGCTGTAAAGCTCCAGAAAGTGTTTCAGTTGCAGTGTTAAAGAGGCTTCTCACTAATCTGTTCAGCTATTCAGTTCTGTTGCAACAGATGGAAACGAGGCCCCCCTTCTTCAGGGTCAGAATTTATACTATTATGGTGAATAAGGCTCTTTTATGTTAAGGTTTCACTTTAGGGTTATTACCCCTATTGCTGCTATTTAACATTGTTGACAATGTTGAGTCCAAGGATTGAACTATTTGAAATTAATTGGATATGAAAGTGCCCAAATCTGTAATTAGTTTGTGTCCAGATTTGTAAACCATTGTTCTGTGTAGTCCTGAGGGCAGAGCCAGACTGATGTTATTGATCTCATGGAGTAGTCTTTTCCTTATTTAAAATATACTCTAAAATTTAGAATTGGAAACCTGTTGTATGTCATAAAAAGTGACACCTAACACACATCAGTCTTTCTGTTTTCTCAGCCTGCTGTTTGCAGTAAGCCTGATGACCACCATGGGAACTGGCTGGGACGCCCCACACATCATCAGAATGCCTGTCAGTGTTCAGGTTGGACACACAGCTTTCACCTGAGCAGGTTTCTGCTGGGGCCAAATCAAACCTGCATCAGACCTCACCCTAACCAACAGCCTGGGTGGGATATTACAGTTGCCAACCATATGTGGTCAATATTTTGGTTGTTGCTGGAATGTTATTCTACCAGATGATTTGCCAGGGAAACAACTGGTCTTTATTCTTTTAGAGGGAAAAAAGGTTTGACTGGTAAAATAGTGAAAATATTTATGAATATATTTATTCTTCTGAATTTTGGATTTGCACCCTGGTGAATGTGAAAGTTGGTTCCCTGCTCTCTCACTGTATTGTTGCACTGTTTGGCCTCAGATCCCTCCTCCTGACACACCATTGGTATGTAAATGCTGGGTAGCTTGTATCACACTGTCATGGTAAACTGATACTGCTACTTTTGTTTCGGTGCAGAACATCCAGATGAAGTGCGAAAACCTGAAAATACAATCAAATGGGAACATTGATGTTACAAAGTATCAGTTTTGAACTGTAGTATTAAGTATATTCTATAGAGGCCTCTGCAAACATGCACATACCCCCACCCCCGGCCCCCTTTCCCACTGCCTTTACTGTGGGTCAACCACAGGCTCACCATGCTCTCTCTGCTGATGGAGTCCTCACCACCACTATGAGGGGAAAACTGGAGAGGTGCGGCTCTGCTTTATTTACACTAGACATGCATTTTCTTAGGTTTGGCACTGGCCAGGATTTGAGGGATACACTGAGTTGTGGTGCTCAGGCAAAACCTTCATAACCAGACCTGTATAAAATGGTGAAAACAACTGGTGGCAGACTGATAATCCTCACTGTTGTAGGTCTTCATGGGCTGTTTTCATTTCAGACAGGTAATTTGCTTTAATACTCCAAAAGGAAGCTTTACTTTATGAACATAATTTTTATGGCAACTGGGGGAAAAAAAGCCTGAAGAGGAGTCAAATGAAAAATGTATGAATATGTCTGGTGGCAAGATTTTCACATTGTTTTGTCATTAAATTTTTTATTTGAATGGTTATATAATTGTATTTATTAAATGAGAAATTCATTGAAGAATAAAATGTCAATCTCTGAAGTATTGTTGTCTGCAACTGTAGCTTCAGACATTTTATCAGAAGTACCAGACAAATACACATCTTGTAGAACCTATGGAAAGATTTATGTGCTGTCATTGGAGCAATACTGCTGGTCTCTCACCATCGTCCTCTTCTGGAAGACCACTCTCCAGAAACAGCTGGCTCAGGGGCAAGTAAGGACATTTGATAATTATAAGATTCAAATGTGTGTCTGGAAACCTGTGGACACTGAATTTGAAAATCTCCAGATTTCTGAAACAGGGAATTGTGTAAAGAATAATATATAAATATATTATCAGAGTGTTTTTTTCACTTATTGCTCATGGTCCTTCTACTAAACATGATGGATCCAGCTGTTTCCCCAATATACTGTATGACAGCTGCAACTCCTACTGCTGATTGCTCATAATTACTCAATACTGTTGCAGAATGTGATGCAAAAAGGTGAGAGCCCTTGTGGAGGAACACTAGATTTGCACTGCTGATATTTAGAAAAGGATCAAATATAAAGTAAAGAGGCACTTCACTGATTAAGTATGCTGGCCCATACTAAAGTATAAAAGTCAGGATATTTCATCCTCTGTAGTTTCACATTTTGATCATTATATTTAAAATCTGTCTCTTGTGAGTCCCTCAGTTGTATGAAAATGCAATGCTAAATCTCACTGCAGGATACTTTTAAAATACTGACTCATAACAGTCAAATCCTGGAAAAATGATCAGTGACTTTGGGAAAAGTACACCAAGTTCTCCTGCTCCTAAAAGCAGTGAAATCCAGAATGCGGCTGTAGTCGCCTTAGGTTTAACAAATGGTTTCCAAATCTAACTGTGACTCAGAGCAGTGTTTGTTTTCTGCCCTACCATCTGGTTAATTACCATCACCTGGCATGCCAGGTGTAAATCACTCCCAGACTGTATGGTTAGAACAGAGAGCAGTGTGGCCCCCGAGTCCTGGAGCAACAGGGTGGAGAACCACCGGGTGCAGCATTTGTGGCTGTGCTGTGGAGTGGTCTCTAAATGACTAACGGTGCCCGTGGTGTTAGCTCAGCTTCAACCTGTTTTAATCATGACATGAGCATGTTGCTGCCAGGAAAACTTTGGATACGATTTTGACCCTTGCTCCTGCTTTGTTGCTTGTTTCTCAAAGTACTGACTATTAAATATTACTAGCAAAAGTGTGCAGAATATCTTTACATTAATGCAACCCAGAAAGGAAAGAGAGGTTCTGAGATGGAAAACTTAACCCACTACCTCATCTTCTAAGACCCCCCCAATCTCCTCTCCCTAACCACAACATACAGCATTGTGGCTTTAAGTGGCCTCCATTTTGTTGCAGCTCCAACAACATTACTTATTGCTCTCTCCCCTTCCAGACTCTGTCCCTCTGTCTCTCTCTGTTGATACTGTTAATGGGACAGCAGTCAAGTCCAGCTGGCACCAGTGTCACCCGTAAAGAGGGGTCTCTATGTTCTAGACGATGGAACTGAAACAGAAAGCAGGTCAGCTATTTATTGTGGCTCGATGGCCATCATGAATGGAACATTGTACCTATGAGAGACAACAGCCTCCTAAATCTCCTGGTCACTCCCACTTTGAAGAGGTCAGGGTCAGGGGAGCTGAATAAAGATAATTTAGAAAATGGGCCCCAGCACAGAGCTGCCTGTGTAACCCCCTGTTCCCTCTGCACACTCAGCTCCCCGAGGCTGCTCTGCTTATGTTTGTTTTGATTTTGCTCCCAGAATTGGGGTGGGGAGGTGGTGGGGTTTGAAGCAGGCAGGGTAGTTATGTTGGAGGACTTTAAGATGCATGGCAATGGTTAAGACAGATTGGACTAAAGAAAATCTAAGTCAACTACATGGAGTCGCTCTATACTGTAGCTGTAGGCCGCTTTGTTTCCCCAGTGTCTCCTGTTTTTATGACACAAAAAACAGTTGGAAGTGCTTGAGGATTCCTGTGGTTAACCAAAAATCAGGCAAAACTGTACGGTTCTCTGGAGATGTGGTGATTCTGTTGAAATTTGCCACCTGTTAAGTCAAGTAACAAATGTCTAAGTAGGTCTATTTTGTCACACAAGGCTCAGAACATCCAAACATCAGCCATGGAGACGTCTTTTTATCAAAGGATAGGTACGAGTTGACAATAGAGGAATACAGTATGTAACACCTCTGAACTACCTGATATCCTTTTGTTAAATTATTGATTATGCATAGTGACAGGAACAACTTTAATTCAGATTCTTCTGCCTTGTAAAATAGTAATAATAATAAAGATTTTTTTTCTTTGTGGTCTTTTTTTTACTCTTCCCACTACACTGTTGTGTGTGATTAGGGTTGCATTTTCAGAGCAGGTGTGCACCTCACACCCAGCAGCAATGCTAAATGATGCTTTACTGTTTGTTAATGACTAAATACTTATGTTAATATGATAGCCTCAAATGGCTGCTTGCTCTGTAACCGAGGTTCATTTAAGTTTTGGCCATTAGTCAAGTCTGTGAATACATGAAGACAAATGTGAGTGTGTACAGTACAGTGAACTCCTGATACCAGCTCAGCTGGATGAATGGACATGTTGTCATAGCTGTCTACTTACAGTACGGTGCTTTAGTTATAACTCCAGTCTAAAATGTAATTAGATTCCTGATTTGCCTTTCTGCTTCAATGAGGACTTAATGTGCAACCACTAGACACTTAAAATTCTTGAGGTCTCAGTTACTCTGACCTAATCTCTCAAATATTAGAGCGTGAACTGCGGCCACATGCAGTACTTACTGTGTTTACATTTGGCTTTTTCAAACAATGGCCTCTCTTTTTTGGCTTTCAAATTCAACATATAGCAGCCCACAATGTAACATCATATAAATCATTTAGGATTTCAGATCTAATGTAAAGAAATATTGCTGCATCCAAATCAAAGCTACCGAACAAAAAATAAACTTTGCTTAGAAAATGAATGACTAACTTTGTGGTGTAAAGTGCTGGTATACTGTGTGCACGTTTACATATTTTAACTTTATCTCTCGCTCTCTGTACAAATCACACCATTACACAGCTTTAGCTCATAAACATTTTATTATAAATCTACCCTCCAACATAAAAAACAGTACTCTGAGATGCTTCCTGCTATGTTTCCACAAGGTGAGATGAAAATTTTGAAAGTCTAAATCATGTCTGGTTTTGTGGGCAAAAAGCTGAGCTACATTTGTGGGTGTATATTGTATTAAGTCCATTTAAGGGACAGTTGGGACACTGACTTATTTTACTTCATATAATCAAAATATATACACATTCTTCATATTCTAGCTTCATAATTTAACATTTATCAACACTGGTCAAGACTTAAAAATATTAGTTTTGACACAATTTTCAAATGGCAAAGACAGTTTCATTACAAGAGATCAATACTAGCAAAAACATTGTTTTTACTTTCCCTTTTAATCAAACAGCTTTACATGGAACAGTGATGAAGTGGCCCTGAAAGACGGCTGCTTTGAATGTCTGGACTGTCATTGTGGACCTTCATCCTCATCATTAGCCCTGTTAGCTGCTCAGTACCTGTGCAGAGCATCTCCTTAAAAAGTACTTTCTAGTACAGAAGAACCTTGCTAGGCATTTGTGAAGTGAACTCAAGCTTGGTGTGGGCTTTTTCTGAATTCTGCAATGTTATTTAGAAACCACTTAGTGACAATCCTGTGTGTTAAAACATCTCTAAACATGGCCTAACACTCTGAAATTCTCTTTAGGAAACCTGTGTGACAAAATAATTAACATACCTTTCACCCACACGTCACCATTCATACCAGATTACTACACAGTATGTTGGTGTTGTTGTTGGCACACTGTTATGACGCTGCCATGTCCACTGATCGTGCTGCGGCAGCAGTCCTGTTCCACTGGAGGTTCAATAATGTAGAGCATGATGTCCTCAATATTAATCCGTAATACACGTACATCCTTTATCTAGGGAGCCTGTGAAAACTGATTGCGACAACTTACACTTAACTCACACAGTTTGTTTAAATTGTGTTCACCCATACATAACAAAACCAAGCAGTGTGAGACCAGAGAGGCCCCTTGTCATGAGCAGTGCTGTGGACAATCTCCAGGTATGACATGTTGAGCCGTATGTTAACACCAGCAGCTGGCAGCTTCTCCTGGGTTGTTGCTTCAGCAGTAATAAAGGCAGGGGTATTTTAAAGGCATGAGAGGAGGCAAGCAATAGGGAGGAAGCAAGGGGTGAGAGGGGGGTGTCTGGAAATGAGGGAGGGGCCCCAAACAGAGAGGCGAGAAAGGCACTTCAGTTAATTTAAGTACTTAATCTCTCACCCTTGCATATCTTCTGACTGTTCCCAAAAATATTTGAAGTGTGGTTGCTGCAACAATGCAGAGGCCCCTGAAATGGAGAGCAGAGCAAACAGAGACTGGATGGGTCCAATGGTTGTCTAAGGGCTTAATAAAGCCACATTCCAAGTGCCACTGAGACCAAACCAAACAAATAGCAGCTCTTTAAAAGGACACAAAATGGCAAGGACCTGCAACAAAGTGTAGTTTGGTTAATTTCTTGATGTCTTCACCTGAAGGTTTGACAATAGGCGCTCCCTCTACTGTACTTAGCACAAAATGAACGGTTCATACAAAGTACTGTAAGGTCACTCATGTAAAAATTTGAATCACAAATCAAAAGAGCAGTTTTCCGGAGTGAGATGTGCATGAAAAGAAATTACTATGCAAATACTACAGTTGTGAAAAGCCTACTCAAATCACTGCTCTGCTTTCTGTCACCATGCACCTAAACTAGGATAGCAGAGAGATCTGGGAGAGAAAGCACAGCTTTGCTTATCCAGCAGACCCGGGTTTGAATCCTGTGCCAGTACGATAATGCTGTCTGTGAGCATGTCACTAAACCCCTCTCAAATCCAGGAGTGACCTTGCACTCTTTGGCAGACCCACTGTGGGCCATGAGTCCAAAAAGCGTTCCATCTCAGTATAATACTCTTGCTAGAGGAAGAACCAGGAGCATCATGCAGCCAGATAACCTCTGGGAAGCAGAAGAATCGTCATCATACACATCCTCTCTGTCATTTTTAGGGTCATAGTCTTCATCCTCATAGATGTCATCCACATCAGACTGGTCTGAAACAACACTGTGGTCTCCTATTGAGCACAGTTTGCTCATGTTCTCCTTGACCACTTCACAGAAAGGTCTCTCTACCCCATCACACACACAGCGGTTCAACAGCATGCCATTTGGGATGAACAGCATCTGCTGAATGGTGGCTTTACACTTGGAGGAGCACTTCCTGCCATTGAACAGCTGCCCACAGTATGACAAGTAGGCCGTGAGAGAGGTGTGACAGCTGCTGTCTTCCTCGCAGCGCTGCCGAGCCTCCATGCACCCTATCCCCCCGGCATCGCTCGGATATCTGCGGGGGAGGCAGGGCTCTATGGCTCGCTTGGCGCTGAGACACTCCAGGTCCTGGGCGCAGTCGCAAGTCTCCAGGTCTGGCCCGCTGCGGGTGTGATTCAGCCTTATAAGCGCGTTGATGCAGTGGCTCGGACACTGCCTCCTCGTACCTCTGATGTTGCCTTCACACGCTGCTAGATACTGATTGTACGCAAGATCACATTCAGGTTCGTCGTGGCACCGAAGGAGCGCCTGCCAGCAAATCAGATGGGCATCTAAGGCCACTAGCACCCATGGGAGAAGTGCCAGGGCGCTGCACCAACATTTCATGCTTGGATGGAGTTCGGTGACGTGCACTTTCTCCACCAACACATTAGTACCAGGATTATCTGCGCACTGAATCTCCCAGACCGCAGTTCAGTTTTCCATACATGGAAAACTGCTTGGTTGTATTTTGCAACCAAACTGGTACAAACGCAGTCGATGCAGATGTGTTACAAATCATCCCCAAACTTCCTCGTTAGGTTTGCCTCCTCCTGGTCAGCTTCGCAACAGTGGAAGTCGGGATCTGATTCAGGGAAAGCACCACGCATGGCTGCAAAGAGAGAGCGCAGTAAAAGTCATTCCAAGAAGCATGTCCGTTCAGAAGTGGGGGATCATACTCCAAACTGCAGCTGGTGCCTGCTCCGTGCCACCGGTGCACATATGAAGTGCACTCTGTGACGTGCCGTAGTGCTACCCAAAGTTAACCACAGTTATTGTCCGCAATTCAGTTTTAACACTTGAACTCATCTTTCTTGCCATCGTTAGTTTCGACTCCCCTTCCCAGTTAGACCACTGTAAACACAGATCCACGCATTCCGATGCTGTTTTTAGTTGGAAGAGGTTTCTGTCTGTCGCATTTTATCCTGCTATATTCGTCTTTGTCCCTCTTCTTGTTGTTACGCTTCACGGTCGGCAAAGCATTTGCCCACATCTCCCCTCCTCCTATTGAAAAAAAGAAAGAAAGAAAAGTTTTCCTCCCCCTCTCTCCCTCCTTCCCTCTCTAATTTACAATCCTGTCCACCGATTGGTCGTCACAGAGGAGTCAGCCGTGGGACCTATTTCCAGGCCTATAGCAGCACAGCTCTGCGCGCAAATCCTCTCAGTATATGACAAGATCGACTGCGGGAAAAGGTTTATAATTTTCCTTGCATGAAACTCAGGATCTGTGTGGTCCCCTCTTTTCTTGTAGCAAAACACAAGTGAAGCTGAGGGGCTGCAAAACGCATTCTTTTGTAGAAGCTCACATCTGTAACTGCAGTGCTTTCAGGGCAGAAAAGCAAACAGGTTTCTTCACAGCAAACCTGTGTGATAACTGGCTAATCGTTTGGAAATTTCACTTTAAGGTTCATGATGTGTCTTGACGCTTTTTCCTCATCTTCTTCTCCTGTCTCTCATTTCTGCAGCGTTTTAAAGCCATGATTGATAGAAGAGAATTGGAGAGAATAGAATTTTCTGGCTCGTTTCACCCTAATTGTGTCAGATTGGCCATGCAGTGGCCCAGTGTCTTTCCAGGCTGATGATTGTTAACGCACTGCAGCCTGTCAATAGAGAGGGGTTTCAGCATCAATATATTTTACAGCTATCCCCCTTCACATCACACTTGAAAACTACCAATAGCTCGGGCTTTTCTGCCATTGAAATGGTAACTAACTTGATCCTTGTTTCTTTACAAAGCACTTTCAGTTCTGCCCTCAGCAAGAGGCTGTGCCAGTTTTACTCCAAATAGCCAAATGGATGCCCAGCCTACTATCTGTTCAAAACTATGAGAAATAGCTGCTTCTAGGAACCCCAGTAATGTCTTAAACATTCTGTCAGGGAAAGAATACACTATGTATGCATTAATATTTAGGCCCCTTGTACTGTATGTACAGCAGCTGGACAAATTAAATGCCAGAGTATAAATATTCCCAATACAACACCACAAATGAGTGTCTACAATCACTATAAAGTTCAATCAAACTCTGTCTTGTAGTCTCAACATTACAAATATCGCACTCTGTACTACTGTTTTGTAGGGCTGTACTGTATTATTTAGTTCATCCTTTATATAAGTGCACTGAAATACATATATGATCCAAACATGCATGTAGGCTTTTGCTACACACTGGTACATATGGATCACTTGAATGATTCTGTCTCTGCACTGGTGCCAGAGAACAAAACTGTTTTCCCCTATATGATATTAATTACATCTTTTAATTCTAATTGACAACAGCATCCCATCTGACCTGTAAATAATGATCAGTCAACATCATCTATCTGCAGCCTCCCTGTTGGAGAAAGCTGCAGCTGTGAGTGTGAGTTTGTCTCCATCTGGTGTTCATGTTGCTGCAGATTGAAGAATACTGAGAAATTATTAACATGTGGCTGTTCTGTGTAAAAATGACTCAAAAAACAAAAAGGAAGATCATTATCCTAAAAATCAGTTTACTGCAGTTAAAATTGCTGAAATACTTTAAGAGACAGAATGTTGGAGATACTGTGAATCAAAAAACAGCCAAAGAATGAACTGCGTGTCATGGCAGCCATTTCCTGAAAACATCAGTTGCACACAATGACAGCACATAAATTACATTAGTATATTATTGTTGTTATTATTAAATTATTAAGTCACACACACTCATACACAGAGTTTGCTGTATGGCTTCTCTTCCACCTATTAATTTAGTCTTATCATCAAACATGACTGTTAGGACTTATTGCAACTTTTCCCCTGCTTTGTATTATTGTAATGTTACAGATATATTGTTCTCAATAAGCACTTTAATCTTATCATTCAGGCTACAGCAAGGAAATTACCACTCTTTTTAGAGAAAACACTAAATATCTTATTGCCTGCAATTCCTCTAAGATAACCTGTGCACTCTTAATATGCAAAATAAAAAATGTTATAATCTTTTTTTTGGCAGTTGAACAATAGCAGGAATCAAAAAGGGAAAAAGCGAGATCAGTGTGACATCACCCTCAGCACCACTGCTACATAAGATCAACCACTGGCAAAATGTTTTGTATATGAATGTATCAATAACAACCAACAACATCCCCTCCTAATTCCTCCTAATGCCTTTTCCTCCATTTGCCTAGGAAACAACAGAGACAGAATACTGCAGAAAGCCCACGCTGACTGTGTGCTGTGTCACACAAATGACCATCACTCTCAGCAGCAGGACTGAGTTTTTACAGATACACAACTTGACATAATACATTGTCTAAAGAACATGAATCCACCAGCACAAAACAGCACCACTGACACGCAGGGGCCAGTGAGATGACATACAGGTCAAAGGTCATATGGCGGTTGATGACACTATGAGACTATGAAAACAGAGTGGGGGATGACCCGCTGCTGACAACAGAGAGGAACAGCAGATACACTTACATCTTATAGAACATAAATATTTGTATGTGGATTTATAGTTGGACATATACACACAGTTACACAGTTTGACATATTTGTGCCATTTCCTTTATGATGGGTCGAGTGTTTTTACTGAAGACTTTGGCATTTAATTTCTGAACCATTTCTATGTCTCTCCTCTGAGTGGCTTTCATTTTTTTATCCTCTGGATGCAGCACAGACAGCTTTACTCCCTATGTAACTGATACTGAAGCTAGGCTAAATTTAGGAATGCTGTTATTGTACACACTTTACTGTATATATGTACTTACAAAATGCAGCACATATATCCTGGCCTTAAGTACAACAGTACTTTTGACTGCTCAATAATAATTTTGTTGCTTTTAATACAACTACAAAATAAGAAAACAAACAACATGGCCTGTCTTTGCGAAGAGTAGCTTACAGATGTTAGAGCTCTAGAGACGACAACCTTGTATGAACATCCAAGGCACACTGAAGTACAGAAAAAGCCCCCAAAACAACTTTACAATGATATGACTAAGAAACGATTAAAAGTCAGGCTATGTAGCTCACAGGAAGACTTCCTCAGGACGGCAGTGTGCCAACATTAGTAAGCTACTCAGGGCAAAGATCAGCCTCATTTCTTTCTCTACATGAATATTGCCCATTTCAAAAGTTTGTGCTTTTTTATGTGGAACATAAACAACTCCACAAATGGCTTCTTCACCACCACATCATCAGATAACACACATGGTATCCTCACATGAGCCAGTGTTAGCCTTGTGTATATGTTTTCTAACCACACAGCTGATTTCACTAAGCAGGGTCACATGATACTGGATCTTGTCGCTGCTCATGTGAGGTACAGAGAGTGAGGGAGGCCAGGGGATGGATGGAGTAAAGGATTTAACAGACATGTATTTTTCAGAGGAGGAGTTGTTATAAAGACAGAAATAACCTCATTGGTTAAATCTCAGAACCGCAGAGTGCAAATGAGCTAATTTAAACAAAATCTATGAATGACATTCACGACTTTTATTATATTTGATGGTTAAACAGAAAGACTTAAAAAACTAGCTCACTTAGGTTAAAAAAGTTAGAATTATTTTCTTTCCTGTTAGTAAGATAAACCACAGAATATCAGCCTCCTCATTTCTTAATTTCATTAATTTCAGGGCATCTGTCTAACTCTGCACAGCTAGAAAAACTCTTATGTGGCTTTGCCAAGTGGCAATTCCACTAAAGCAACAAGAATATTTCTATCTCCAAAGCAGCTCTGCCACTGAAAAATGTTTGTATAACTCTAATCTCCAGGGACTTAGAGCAGGCCAGATCACATGAGACTGCATTTCTCCGTCTGCTTTTTGAGGTCTTCCAGTGTGGCCTGGGCTTTGTCTTTCAGCTGGTCGATGTCCACATTCTGGATGTTGGACAGCTGGCCCAGCACGGACTGCTTGTGCTCTTCTTCCTGGTTGTCTTCTGCAATCATCTTGGCCAGCTCTGTGGGCAGCACTACGTCATCCCCCGCCTGCTGGATCTGAGTCTCATCAAGCTCATTCTGAGGTTGGTACACAAGTTGGTAGATGCATTATAGACACTCAAGTACATGAAGGACATGTCCAGAGGCAGAGCAGAGATAAAGGACAACAACTTTAACACAAGATGTTCAAATCTTACCATTGCATGTTATTAGGCTGCAAAATAATCTTTACAAAAACAGAGATTCTGTTTTTAATTGAAGAATAGTCTACTGTTTATGTTTTGTTTGTTTTATTAAAGCAGTGCCAAATCAGTTTACCTTTGGTAGCCTGTACTTTTCCCGAAAATGACTTCTAACTGTGGCTCGCTCTGCTTTCTTCTGGGCAAAATGAGCTTCTCGTTCTCGTCTGCAAAAAAAGAGAAAAATAGTTTTCTGGCACAATGTCCAAGGTGTCAAATAAATTTAGATCATCTCAGCCTCCAACCAAAGCCAAACATGTCTTTTTAAAAAGACTCATGGTAATGCAAGGTCCGAATCCAGCTGGAGCCTTGTGATGCTGCACATGGCTGTGAAGAACTGGTTTTCTTCATTTTCAGATTCATTATGTGTGGTGCTTGCAGATAGCATTGTTATTTCCAAGCTTACCACAGATGAAAGCACATACACTTGATTAACAGCAGAATGATGGAAAAATACATTTTTCTAAAACAGAACCAGGAGGCCGTTGGATAAAAAGAAGGAAGAGATGTTCTGCTTTTGTTTAGAAGCACCGGGTGTGACGTAGCATCCTGTCAGTCCAACTGTCCTCAGGGATTTCAGTCCACTTGGAACTACTAGAGGTAACTTACTAACAGCAGACCCACCACGTTATATAGCTGTCAACCCAACATACATATTCTGGACTTAAGAGCTCCAGAGCTAACAGGGAGTTTCATGTCAGAGCAGCATGGAAACCTTCAACAGAGCTTAATTACTATTTCTACACATTGAGCAGCTTAAGCCAGTCTACAGTGCACCCAACTTTCCATATAAGGGTGGCATATTTTTTAATGAGTGTTTTGTTATTTGTCTGTTTAATAAACAATCCAGCCTACACTATGGGGTGCCACCAGCAGAGGGCAGACAGTAGGCTGATGGAACTGCTCTCTCCACTGAAGATCACTAGAATATTGATGGCTTCAGTGTGGTTCATAACTGTCCCTCTTAAACTGTTAAATTTGATGAAGTGCCTCTGACATCGTGAGCTAGTGACATAACATAATACATAACAAACTGGCTGTAAATACAGTTGTAAAAGACCACATTCGATCACAGTTAGTGAAATACAGTTGGTGCTTACAACAACATAAATGCTATAGATGATGCTCTTCAAAGAAAAGCTACAGTGGGGGGGGGTAACACTGTGTGCCTAAATTTAAGTGAGCAGCATAATGTGAAGACAAGGGACACAGGCATGGTTTGCAAAATGTTTGTACTCAGTGTGTCATGGGAAGGTCATTTGATGTGGCGATGCTGCATTCAGGGTGCTGTCTATGTCAGCCAGACTAAACATGAGCGGGCTAAACACCAAACAGCACATAGGCCCCCGCAATGCTTACTTGCAACCGCTGAGTAGAGTTTTGTGTCTTCCAATCTCAAGGGCATGAGATGACCAAGGCTGACCTGGGTGCTGAAGTTGATAAATGATCCTTCCCAACCCCTTCCCCCACCTTATTCAGCTTCAGTCTGAGCAGTATGGGCTTCTCAGTGATCTGTACTCATGTTTAGTACCCCTGACCAATAACTCACTTTTCCTGAAGGTCACATTGTGACAGCAGGGCATCTAGCATTTTGCCATGTTCCTGTAGAGTTCAGTCAATACTGGCACAGTTAAGACTTCGCTTCCCACTTGTCTACACATGATACTGTGAGACACTTGAAAATAAATTGTTCCCCAAGTGTGCTCTTATGTTATTTTAATATCTTCCTCTAAGCCAAGAGCAAATACCTACATTATGGAATTTCTCTAAAATATGGATATTTATTCCACATTCCATTTCTATGGTAATTTATTCCATGGCCCAGACTGTGAACACCTTATGTGGGATGTGGAGCGTCACAGTAATCACCAGTCAGTGGTGAGTTACTGTTTTCTGGGTGAACTGTTTGCCAGCCTGTTTGTAAGGCCTTATATTTTGCTCCAGTGGGCTCAGGAGATAAGAACAATGCTGAATATGTACATTTTGTAAATTATTAGCAACCATGAAAGGATGATGAAGGTGGGCCAAGGACGAAAAATCCCAAACTAATAAATATTAGTTCACGCTGTTGCTTGTTTGCACCTCTGATAAAATCCCAATTAGGGGCTCTGATTTGACCATTCTATTTACCGCATAGCCTAGTTCATTATTCCGCCGCACGCACAGCAATGGGAACATGTTTCGCCCCAGGCACCAATCTCATAGACGTTTCCGTGGAAGACTGATTCCAGGAATCCAACATTTAAAATGGCTCTAGATAATTTGCACAAGCTAAGAGACAGAGAGCTCCCTGTGCGAGAGGAGCAGCTGTGTGTTGAGCACTCATTATTGCATGACGCGTAAAAAAGCTCGTGGCGCGCTGAGAGCGCTTAGCTATTTACGCACAAAACACACTGTTTAAACACACCACGCTTTCACCGCTGTTCCGGCACAAACCATAAGTTTTCATTTTTCATCACTTTAAATTACAAGCTTCAATCAATGCCTTACTTTTCTTCCTCTAGCTGTTGCTCATATTGTTCAAATTCCTCTTGAGTCATCTTCGCAGCCCCTTCTGATTTCTCTCCTTCGGATTTCTCCTCAGTCAGTCCGCCTGTCAGATTCTTCAACTGTCCTCCCACCACGTGTTTTACCATGAAAGCCATGCCTGCGCCTCAGAGGGTCCTCTGTTTGGTCGACTAAGAAGTTGAAGGGTTGAAGCGCTCTGGGCAGGGCGGTGACGGCAGATAGGAATCCGTCGATTGACGCTTAAATCAGACGTCTTTAAGTGTTACACAAAGGCTCGAGTAGAGCAATCAAACCTGAAAAAGGACGAAATTATTCCACCGGCGTGTCGGAAGCTGGCAGCTTCAGCACCACTGGCCCTGGACAGCTCCGCGCCGTGAAGGATGGAGAGGAGCTGCTCAGTTATGAGTCAACAAGTTTGGCTGTGAACTCTACCAATCCCGAGACTCCGTCCGCAGCCACCACACCCTCCACCCAATCCCAGGCACCGCCGAATTGGGTGTGCGCTTGCATGGGTGCGCGTCGGCATCCTGGGCTGCACGGGATCCCGCGATTCGTCGTCAGAATATATCTCACTATAGAGTGTGAAAGGACTCCGGGGGAACAAACAACACGTGACCAGCCTCGTTGTCTCTTGCCTGTTTTGGTGCATGTGCTTCATTCAGGGTCATCGGCGCACTGGAACTTAAAACTCAGTTGGTCAACAGACAAAGAGCTTCCTAATTGCAAATTAATCAAACGGCACTCTGTGGACAAAAGGCATGAGATCGGTTTATTGGCCTAGTCGCATAGAAATGATGGGTGTTAGAATTAGTGAGTTGGTTTGACTAACACCAACAAACGTATTTCCATAAAATGAGAAGAGACAGAAATGAAAAAGCACAAAATGCATCTTTCACTCTAAGCAGATACTCATCCTTCATTTGTATTTAATGCCCTTATAAATATTTCTTGCCTCTAACATTTAGGAAGTGGAGCTAACATCCTATAATTATATATTTTGTTTCCAAGTGCATCACAATCTATTAGTAGCACACACAAGTAAGTTTATAATATAATATACAATAGTGTCTCAAGTTTTTCAAGCCTCCTATAGGATTTTCTGTGCCTCTTACGTTCCTGTGTTCAAGTGTGTTAGATGGGGTAGACAGGGTGAACAGCTGAACTTCATCACCATAAAAGATGGTTTATTAAAAGGCTGGGTGCTTCTGGGTGACATAGTGTGACGCTCAGCTGGAAAACCTAAAAAAAAAGATCTACATGTGTGTATGAAGAATATTTTCCTCTTTCTCTCTCTTTCCCATGTGCGTGCGCATGCACACACACACACACACACACACACACACACACACACAGACTCTTCACATCTAAAGTGTGAAAAGGCACTCTGATACATGTGTGTATGAAGAATATTTTCCTCTTTCTCTCTCTTTCCCATGTGCGTGCGCATGCACACACACACACACACACACACACACACACAGACTCTTGACATCTAAAGTGTGAAAAGGAACTCTGATCGCAATCCATCAACTTCAGCATCCTGATCCTTGCAGCAGTCTAACACAGTCTGGCCTACTTTCTAGGTCCCTGTGGATCAGGAGAGACAGAGCTCATCGCTGTGTCTTTTTGTCACAAGCATAGCGAGGCCCTGTTAGCCTATACCTGCCTCACTTTAAAATCTCCCCCCAACTTCAAAGGTGCAGGTGAATAAACTGAAACGTAACACAGTGAATAAGATCAGAACTCTAATCTCTGTGAAACTGAATGAAATGAAAGAATTTGCCTAACTAGTATGTTTTAATACCAGTTTATGTCCTTTTGCTTTTGATATTCACAAGCTGTTCCCATCCCATAACTTACCTTATTCATGGATTATCACTGAGCTCTGACTACAGGTGCTCTAGCAAGTGCCCTTCACATGATGACATGTTTTAGCAGCAGAGCCTCACAGAACAATCAGCCTGGTCCAAAAATGTGAGAGCAGAGATGTTGTGTCTACTGGCAAATACACTGAACCTATGACTAATACATCAGCTGTTTTCACTCGGTTCTTGTGAAGTTATTATTAAACCCAGGAAAGAGAGGAAGTCCTGGGTGCACACACAAATTTTCCTCTTGAAATTAACTGTGTTATTAATGAGGTCTCGGTGTTACTGTATATGACGAGGAGGATTACACAGTATAAGATCCTTTCATTTTGGTCTTATTAATTGAATAGCACATTTATAGGATTCCTAATGTCAGTGCTGGTACTGTAGTTAACATGTTGTTACCTGGTTGTTACTGACAACATTTAGATCAGCTGATATAAACAGGCTTGCTAGTGTGAGGTAGTAGTGGGCTGGGCTGCATGGAGCCAGTAATGCCAACATGGTAAGAGCTTTACGGGGTAGTTTTTTGTTTTATAAGGATAATTTTTTGTCTTTATTTATTTGTTTGTTCAATAGTGAGTCTAGATAGATAGCAAACATAGGGACTGACATGCAACAAAGGCCCCTGGGCCAGGAGTCCTGGAGGCTGTGGTGACCTGGTATGTGCCTTAACAAGACTGACTTTAAACCACCCTGTGGGTGCTGTCTCTAAAGAATATGTCACAGTAAAATTACAGGATATTTTAAAGTTCTTCACTTATTAGTAACATTAAAGAGGATGCAATCATCTGTGTTTGTTCATTAATAGCATGTGGCATTGAGATGAAAAATTCACTAACAACAAAAAGACAACATTACTCACCGTGTCTGATTTAAAAATAAGCTTATGTTAAAGCTTCCTGCCTAATTGCACTGCTTACTCAACCTTGATTGTCACTGTACTGAATAAATGAACAGTTGCAGACTTCATACTGCCTATAGGAAATGTACATGCAAAGCCCTCAGGCAGATGTTCACTGTAAAGGTCATGCATGGTTGCACATGAATCTGACACATTACTTCCCTTTTGCACAGTCATCTGAGTTAGAAATGTTTACAATTCTGCTAAAAATATCACACACTGAATAAAGTAGAAAAAAAATTCCAGTGTAAAATGAATAAAAAAGAGAAATGTAGTGCAGATTATGGGGACTGCAAATCTGAGATAAAAAATTTGGTCTTTGAGTCAGAATAAGACGAATGTCTGTGGAAAAAGCAACAAAAAAATTGCATAGCCATGACATAGCCTACTATGTTTGCTGCAAGCCAGAAGCAATCACAGCGTGAGTCAACATAACTGAAAGCATCATGCTGGCTCACACCCAGCCATACTTTGAGCCTGGTTATATTTGATCTTCTGGTAGAAACACAGCCTATGTGGGCTAGAGAGAGATGAGTTTATGTATACCATCACTCACACTCGCTGATCCTCAGCAGCTGAATGTTACACCTTTGTTTTTTCAGACAAGAAATTAGACTCATCAAACAAATGTGCCCTGCAGCAAACAATATCCACATTCAGGGAGTTTATAAATTCACACAGGCTGAGATCACAGCATTAACACGTCACTGGGATGCCTGTCTTAAGGAAAGCAGTGTATGTTTTTTTTACCTTCAGTTCAACTAGTTGGCATCTATAAACAAACAATATGAAAACATTTTGGGACATTGTTTTATTTTACTGTTTCACCGATATATCATTGGTATCATATTAGTATGATACCACAGTGGATTGGTTTGTGCCAGGAGAACTCAAAGGCAAAAGACTGATTTAAAATTTGCAATACCAACCGAGAACCGTTCTCTTATTGTACATATGTTCAGTTCATAACAAAGTATTTTTCATATTTCAGGGAGACGTGATTCTTGAGTCTGTCAACTCAGAAGAAGTACATTTACTGGGAAAAGTGGTAACTGAAAGCAAAAATGTAGACGGGATTCAAATTACACATTGAAATGGTTGAAAGTGTGAAAGGAAGCTGCCAAGAGACACACTCAGTGACAGAATTAACAGGAGAAAAATGTGCAGATCAAAAGCGAAAAAGATGAAACACAAATGTTCAGAGAACTGGCTGAGATAGGTTGTGAAATTGCATGTGAACAGGAAAAAGGCCAAAAATGATCAGAAGCACTGCTGCCTCCAAAATCCATCTCTGCAGTGTAATCTCTGAGCTTTTATTTACCACATGTGCCATTCATTTAATGATTTTTTTAATACCAAACTGGTGTGGTTTTAACATCCACAAGCATATGCACACATCTTGTGGTGTCTAGTATTTCTGCTCTCAAATCAGTGATGTTTAATCCACATACTATGCATTAAATGTTCTTTATGTTTTGTAAAACTGCTGCCAACCTGTTAAAACCACTTTAAAGAAACCAGCTTACATGAAATGCAGCGTCTATCTCCAAGTATACACAGACTAGTATGAATATTAGCCTGCTCCACTTCTGTGCATTCAAATGCATGAGCTTGTATTAGTGTAAGTCGTTCTGGTGGGTTTAGAACTTATAAGCATTGCAGCTTTATGCCACACTGTATCCACAGGGCTTCAAAGTGGGCTAAGTCACAGCACACTGTGACTGTAACAGTATGTGATATACGTGTGCTGGATGTCCAATGATAAAAAGGAGGGAGCCCCCCCCCTCCCCATTTAATTAAGTGGTTAAAATATCTTGTTCAGCAGGCAAATTACAAGAAACTAGCAGTTGTATGGTTAGAAAATGAAATGTAATGACAAAGAGGAGAGATAATAACATGTTATATAAGAAAAATCGTCATGTAAGAGACATTTTATTTTTAGGAGACAGGACAGAGAGGAAGGATAGAGAGAGAGACAGAAGATGGCAAGCAGGAAAGGTCAGCTTTGAATCCACATTATGAGCATATGGCTGGCTGCCGAGCCCTCTCAGGCACTGTAATGTCTCTGCCTATTTGTTTTTTCTTTGCTGTCCTTCTTTTACACCTTTCCCTCGCTGCCCTCATACATTGTCTTTACTCAGATTTTCCCCTCTCCCAACCCTTCCTTCTTATCCTCTCTCCTGCTGCTTCATCACCCTCACCCGGCTCCCCATCTTTCCTTCAAATCCCTACCATCCTCCCTCCATCCATCCCTCCCTCATCTCCCCTGCCTGATTTAGACCTCTTGCCTGAGAGGAATGTCAGAGCACAGTGGGTTAGCACTGGCTGAGCTTAAATGGAATGAGAAAACCATAACATTCTTTTTCATGAATAGATGCAAACAATCAGCAGCGTGAGGGTGAGCACAGTAAAAGGGTGAGATAAAGCAGGTTTGGAGGAAAATGGCAGCAGAGATGGGGTGGAGGTCGGTGGGGAGGGGGTAGGTAGGAGTGACAGAGAATCATGAAGATTCTTAACTCAAAAAGTCAATGTGACAATGAATTGTTTCCTGACATTTGAGGCCTTATAATATATCACAGATAATCCCATGCTTGTGTAGAGTTTTCAGGAGCAAGGTCCTCAGTTTCTTAATATTATCTATAATAATCTGTTTTGACTATCATATTAAGCTTTAGAGGGACTAAGTTTCAAAGCCCCAGTTGTTTGCTAAGTTCGGGACAGCCTGTTTCACTTGTAATTGT